ATTTGAATCAAATCTATTTTCTATATTTCAAAACTTTGCTTTCAATAAAACCAGCTAGGAACGAGCAAACATACTACAGTGGAATACATAGTGCACCGTTAAATACCACCACCAACTTGCACCACTTTGTTTAATAACATTATACATATTTTGAAAAAAATGGCTTAAAAATATGGCTTAATGTGGGGAATGGTCGAAGAGTGTGGTCCGATCTCAACCATTCTTAAGTGTTTGTCCTTGGACCCGAACACGTCAATGTACAAAATTTCATCTAAATATATAATTTTTTGCGATCTGTGTAAGTTGAACAAAAGACAAGAAGTCGGATGGACGGACAGGCGGACAGATCAACAGAAGTTTAGAGCGATTCAAAAAGTGATTCTGAGTTGAACGGTACAACTAAAAGGCAGATCTATATACCCCAAGTGAAGGATATAAAAACATGTCCGAGATGAGAGTACGAGAAGCTACGATTTAAGCCAAATCTAATTTCTTCCGTTACTCATTCGATTCTTTATGTACAAAAAAGATTAAATTATCGCAAAGTCGTTTAGTCCAAAAACATAAAACAAACAACTTCACTGCCGCCTCTTTCTTGTTTGAAGAAAAAAAAAAAAAAACTTGACTTTATGTTCATAGAAATAGTTGTAAAGCGCTTAAGAGCAGGATTTTCTATTGCATTATGTTTATATGGCTTCCCACAGTGCATTATGATGAGTCAGCTTGGAGCAATATTCAGGTGCACTTAAAATAATGAACAGTAAAGTAAGAACAAGTATAAAGAAAATAAGTAATTCTTTTTGTACCATTCATTTTTCTTCTGCATCAATGCACACACACAGTTACATATACACCATACTTATTATTACAGATATTACATGCTTTGTGCAAATATTTTATTTTAAAGCAAACAAGTCCGCTAGATATTATTATTAATACAAAGCGAGGAAGTTTTCAAACACGCTCTAATAGTGAAAATGAAAAATATATAGCAATATAGGGATTTTCAATATTCGCATTTATTGCAATTAGATTTTAACTATAACTTTATGCACATGGCCATCACAACTCTTCGCTGAGAAAGAACGCGCTATGGCTCAATTTTCTGGCCATTTATTCACTAAATGTGGCATTGATAAAATATTCAAATATTCTAACAAAATGGAATATAAATAGAATTTGATTTATTATTGCGGCCGTGTTAAGCCGCAGTAAGTCTGCAGAGCTTCCTGAAATTCTTGCTTCACCAAAGTTATTACATAGCAAATCAATTATGCGTGAACTGTCCTTTATTGAAATCAAATCTTCCATGCATTAACATCGATCTGGGGAGAATAAGTTTGATGTTTAAAATGTGGCCGCAATATTAAGAACAATCCTTACTCTCATCTCTCTCTCTCTCTCTTTCACGCTGAACTACAGATTACTGGTTATTTGATTTGCTGGGGACTGATTTATGCGTCACTGTTAACTTCTTTGCATTACTTATTTTCAACCCAAACATTCGTTTACCTAAATAGCAAATAATTTAGTTTATATCGCTTTAGCTAAAGTTCTTTCCATATAATTTATTATTATGCATTCCGTTTATAAGTTTCGTATGCCTCTGACCTACCTGTAAAACACTAACAGGTGACAATTTATTGCTGCCCTAACAGCAGTCAGTTTATAGTCAATTTGCAATAATTTTAAAACTAGAATGTGTGAAATAAAATAATAATAAATCTTTATACTGTTGAGTTGTAAATTTTCTCATCGATAAAATGGTATTAAAAGGTCACCCACGAAAAATGCTGTAATGAAGAAAAAGAACCGTCAGCACGAATCACTTTCAAGAAAGACTCCTGTATATCTCGCAGACGACAGATGGAAATAATTCATTGCAGTTACTGTACACTAGCGGTATATTGACATCAATTGGCCGAGATCGCAAATGAGTGAAAAATGTGAAATTGTTTGCTTAGTCTGCAAAACATTGATCTCATGTTAGTAATAATAGAGACGACATTTGTTACTACATCATAGCATTGAACTTTTCTTAATAGCTAACAACATGTTTTACTATATCTGTTTCACAAACATATCTACTATTCGACTATTAGGAACAACACCCAGCGTATAAAATTTTCATTTTGCTTAGCTAATTGAAAGAGCAAAGCTCTTCTCTTCTCTTCCTCTATTAACCATCCATCCAATCCGCCGAATGGTTAAACTGAAAACAAAAACCGGAAGAATATAGTCAATCGTAAGGTGTGTGCTTGTACGGAGTTCAATGTATTGCTTGCATTAAACTGTAACCGAGATTGTTGATTCCCCTAAAGCCTTCTCTGGCAAATATTTAAAAGCTATCGTTAACGTGTACACGTCTTTCGTGCATTAATTTCAGCAAAAGCAACTTTAAATCGTTGCATTAACCTATGCAGCAGCAGGTCTATGCGCTTGATAGCTGACTGACTGAGTTCTTGACACGAAAAAGGCCGATTAGTAGTCGCATCGTTTTCATCAAGCTTGTTTAATCGCCCATACATTGACCCTTTTCCATATTTTTCCCCTTTTTTTTCTTCTTTTTTCTTCACACTTATACCATACCATACTTCCCTTCTTTAGCGTGCGGCTAATCCCCAAAAATTGCATTTATAATGTCAGTAACAGCAACAACAACAACCACAAGAAAAACGCTCTAAAGAGAAGCGAAATGAAACGTAACGTGGGTTTATTTAAAAAGCGAAGCGTGATGCACACATTATTGCATGTTTTCCTGCCTTGTATGACAGACATGTTTAACCAGCACAATAGAAGCGAACGATAAGAGAAAATAAAAAACGAAAACATTCCAAATGAAAATGAAAATGAAAAGAACAACAAAAAGTGCAAAAAAAAAAAAAAAAAAAAAAAAAAAAACTTGTTGTTGAACAAAAGTAAATAAGATTTTTATCCAATATAACGAGAATGTACACGAAACAAACTTAAAATAAACAAAAGTGAAAGCAACAGAAAGTTTAAAAAAACAACAGCAAATAGGAAAATTATATCGAATCTTTTGCACCCTTCCCCTTTTTGTTCAATGAAAAAGCAAAAACAAAACAAATGAGCCTTCGATGCCGTATAAATTTGATTGCGCGAGTGGGCGAGTTTTTGTCCGCTTCCAATACCTTAGAGGCACTGCATGATAACCTTTAGGAGGATATACAAAGAAATTTTCATTGTTTCATCCACATGCGTTTTATGTGTAATAATATTTCTTTTTTTTAAAAACCGCAATATTCCTCAGGTTATTTTGTGCTGTTGCAAGCATGCTCTCTGGCTAGATTGGCCGATTTTCACAACTACATCTTCGCTGCGAGAACTTGTAACTTGCTTTTGCAAACTTAAAGCCACTGTACCTTAATTTTTTCAATCGGTAGAGAGTTTACCACACATACAGCTACATTAGCGGGGATGGGAGACAGACATCTGTAAATCGATTCATAATCCGATGCTGACGAATTGTAATAATAATAATACATTAAAGCTTCCTCTCCTCCTGGCTGTTGCAAACATCTCGATAAGACGAATAGATCCTCAACTCTCACTGAAGGGTACAAAAAAATCTATTGCAACCACTAATATAAAAATAAGAAAATAAATTGCAAACGCAAAAGAAATTAAAAAAACAAAAACTTTATTTTCAACTCCTTAAGGGAAAAAACAATTTTCAACTCCTAAGGATAGAACAGTATCGCTGCAACGTATAATTTTATAAAAGCATTTCTAACCTCCCAACCTGCGTAAATGTCATCTTGTATTTATCACTTTGAAAGACCCTTTCTCTCTTTTTCTCTCGCAGTCGCCTAATGCATACAAACTTGCTAAATGTTTGTAGGGCGCAAAAATATATATCAAAGACGCTATTTACCGGGGACATTATTGGATCATCTCTTCAAATTATTTAACGAAAGGCTAATCATTATAAACGAGGAAACCTTGTACGTGTGGTTGGTTGTACGTTTGCTGATATATTTGGAAAATTCTTTAAGTAATTTTCGAAAAACAAAAAATAAAAGCAGCACCCTACAGTTATCCGTATGTGAACTTGGGCGACCGATCCGAAATATTTTCAACAGCGATCGTCGTTAGGCCCAGATACGTCAGTGCTCCAAACTTCATTGAATTATCTCAAAAATTGTGATCTATAGTTTGAAGAACACAAGCAATCAAAACGGACAGACGGATAGACAAGTTGAGGTCGATTCTGAAAGTAATTCTGACCGTTCAGAAAATGATTCCGAGTCGATCGGTGTAATGAAAAGTGGGTCGATTCCAGGTGTTCCATACATGACGCAAGTGCAGTAGATGCGAATCACATACGTTTCGTATCTTTGAAGCTATTTCACATGTTCAGACGTTATGTGCAAACATCTAAAGACACTTTAAACTTAAAATTATGAAATTTTGTAAATTTTTAAAATCCATAATTACTCACGAGTAATTGATATTGTTTGTTATGTCAACAATATCTAGATCTTGTCTTTGTTTGTTTTTTTTTTATTTATGTTTATTAATATCTGAAACTGAGCACATTTAAAAGCACAAGAAACAAACATGTGTACGATAATAAATGTAACAGAGGCTATATAACGTGCGTTTACGCAATTGTTTGTTCTAGTGCCATTAGTAGCGTTAGTAGTAGAACGCTCTGTTTATTCATATATTCGTATATTTCGGAATTATCTTTATTGAAAACTTTTTTTCATTTCATTAAATCGGAAAAAATGTTGAAATTTTCATTCATCGTTCTTGTAGTGTCTGCTGCAGAGTCAGAATTCTATACGATTCTAACGGCACCTGTTTTATTAACTTATCTCTCGTGTGATAACATTATAGTTGATTTTGTTAATCTTTTTACTGTACAATATTAACGATAAGTTTATACGTTTATTGAAAGGTAATTTACTAAAAGAAAATTGAAAATGTCACATCAACAGAACCATAATAATTAACTACATTTTAATCGAAAAAACTTTAGTAACTTTTCAGTCTTTGACTCGTGTACTAGACTTAGAGACAGACCATCCATTGTTATCACATTGAAATGCTTAAAAAGCTATTATTTGTGGTGTTGTTTAGTGTAATGGTGGCTTCAGTTAGTTTGCAGAAATTCACTGAAGATCTTACCGACGATGATGATTCGATTATATTTGGAAGATCATGTGAGTAACAAATTGGCCTTTGGTCTCGTTAAATTTTTGCTTGTTAGCCTTGAGAGTACGACTTTCAAAATAACTGATTATTTTGCGACTAACGCTTGGCGTTGTTGTTGTTGTTCAAAGAAATACTATACGGCATTTTGGGTTTTAGAATTTGTAGAGAGACTTCGAGATCTACTAAATATTGTGAAAAATGTGCAGAATGCACCAAAAAAAAAAATATTAAGGATGCTCTTGATATCCAAGACATAGACGGATAAGTACGCAACTCTCGTAGGTAATTTTACTCTACACCACTTGCCGTACAAGCTCTTGGTGCACATATCACGTGAGGGTTTTTGCTAAAATCGAATTAAACTTGTCCGTCCATCCGCCCATCGTGTTGTGTTCTGTTCAACGGCATCCCGCTATTCTTGAGATGATTTCATAAAGTTTGATGGAGTGGCGCTATTGAAAATGGCTCGAATCGGATCCCTTTTTTAATCGCTTTAACACCTATATATGAGTTCATATAAAATTTTATATGCCATTGCATTCATAGCTGAATCTAAATCGTCATACCCGTCGAAATAATATTTTCTAAAATATATATATACATTTTTGCAAGATTTGCAACAAACGTTCACAAGTCGGCACAATATCCATCTAACTCAGCAAAAATTCATATAAAACACTATTTCTTACTCCTTACCGTCTTGTAAATTGCTATTGCAACTAATTACAGTTGCATATTTAAATGAAATTTATCAGTCAATTAAATGGGTATTCGCTGGTAACTACTTTATTAACTTCGCTATAGCAATAAACAAAAAATTTGTTTAACTTTTGTAATTCTTATCTATAGCACAATAAAAATGCTAAACTATAAAAAATAATTTTCATTTGTAGCAGAAAAATACATTTCAAAGTTAATCAAGTTGTTTGTCTTGAATATATAAAGAATTTTTTCCCGTTTATGCTTACCCTGCAGCCGATATTGCCAACGAGTTCTCTGAAGAATATATAAATTTTCTAAAAACTGGCCATGAATCGGAGAGCTTGAAGGCACTATCAAACAAACTGGCCAATATGCATACACTTAAAGAAATCTTTACCACTAGCATAGCCGAATGGAAAACCAAAGATCAACTCTTTATGTGTACCACTTGTCAGGCTGTCGTCAATATTATAACTCACATGTTTCGCGATGAGAATGGGGAATTGAATGGTCCGAATGCCGAAAGTAACACTAAAAACTTAATGTTGGAACTTTGTCAGCGATTTCAATTGCAAACGCCTGACGTTTGCTCCGGTCTTTTCGATGTCAATTGGCCAACGGTACATTACATTGTAATGAATTCGAAAGCCGACGCTCGTTCCATATGTGGTCTATTGCCTATATCGTTTTGCGTAGTGAAACAGGAGGAATTCGAATGGAGCGTAGAAGTTGACAATACAACGGGACCGTTAACTAAACCAAAAGATGAGATTCCACAAAAGACTGCAAATGATTTAAGGATTTTACATCTTAGCGATATACACTATGATCCCGATTATAAAGAGGGCTCTCTTGCCGATTGCGAAGAGCCTTTATGCTGTCGTAATGCAGACAATATAAATATTCCTGACCAACTTGGCGCAGGTCGTTGGGGGGATTATCGTGATTGTGACGCACCTATGCGCTTAGTTGTAAATGCTTTGGAGCATATTCAAACTCAAGGCCAAATTGATTATATTTATTATACGGGCGACATAGTACCGCATAATATATGGTCGACAACAGAAGAAAGTAATAAAGAAATTATTACCGAAATTTTTGATTTGTTATCGAAGCATTTCGGAAAGACAAAAGTTTATCCAGCGATAGGAAATCATGAAGCTCATCCTGCTAATGTGTAAATTGATTTTGAAATCTCTTTTCTTGTCCAATTTTTTGTTTTAAAGAGGTCAATACTTTTTTAAACTTTTCTAATATAGATTTGGTAACGAAAATGTTCCATCAAATTTTTCTTCTGTCTGGTTATATGAACACTTATGGACTTTGTGGTCCGATTGGCTACCTATTGAGGCCAGAGATACGATATTAAAAGGAGGCTACTATACAGTCACACCGAGACCGGGTTTTCGTATTATCTCCTTGTCTAATATGGACTGTTATATATTTAACTGGTGGATCTATTACAATGGCAAAGAGACGAGCTTACCTCAGTTGCAATGGCTGCATGATACTCTCTTGGCGGCCGAGGAAAACGGTGAACATGTTCATATCTTGGCTCACATACCTTCGGGCGGTAAAGATTGTTGGCCGGTTTGGGCGCGTGAATATAATCGTATAATTGAACGTTTCAGCCACGTTATAAGCGGTATTTTTAACGGTCATACGCACAGAGATGAAATGCTTTTACACTATTCCGAACGTGGTCATCCTATGGCCATATCTTGGAATGGAGGAAGTTTGACACCGTACTCTTATAAAAATCCCAACTACAGGATATATGACGTTGAACCTCAAACCTTTGTATGCTTACACAATATTTTTTTCTTCCTTTGCTTTCAATTTAATTTCAATTTTTTTTTGTTTTTTTTTTGTTATTATTTTTTAATTCGAATTTTTTATAGCAAGTTGTTGATCATGAAACTTGGATTTTCAATCTAACAGAAGCCAATGAACAAGGTGACTTGGGTACTCCGCGTTGGTTTAAAGAATATCATTTTTCAGATTTTACTAACGATTTAAGTCCGGCGGGTATCGATCAATGGTTCAACTTTATGGCCGAAAATCCGGATCTTTTGCGTAAAGTGTGTGAACTTTTTCTGTTATTGTCGTCAAGAGTGTTGTGTTAAACAAAAAGTTTTCTCTAAATTTAGTTTTGGTCATTCAAAGTGACTTTGGCTGATCCCAAATTGTCGACTGGCTGCAATAACAAATGCCTTTCGGATACCATCTGTCAGCTGGCTGTGTCAGCCAATAATCAGAAAGGACGTTGTCAAGAATTACAATCGATATTAGAAACAAAAGTAAGTTATTTCCCAACACATCGCACGCAGTATACAAGTTCTGTTAAATATTTATAACTCATGTGAATGCGCATCGGGGACCCTGTAAGGAATGCTATGATCAAAAAAAGTAACACTACGTTTTCTTCGATTATCACGGTTTAGTGTGGTATTAAGCTCCTTCAGTCGAGGCATTCTGTCTGCGAACATTATTTCTGTCATCTGTTGGTTTTTCTATCACACATATGCTTCTTTCAGCTTCGTTTCAAACAAAATTCAAATGCACATCTCCGATTTATCTCCGACTGACATGGGATTCTTCTTGAAATCGAAACAAGTCCTCCGGCAACATTGTTTCAGTGGGAATGCACCGTCATAAATGAAACTAAACAGGCCTACCTGGTCGACTACTAGGGTAGAATTCAATTACGTTGCTGCCAGGGCACATGAAAGAAAAGAAAGTTAACCGTTCCGATAATCCGGGGCGATTGAGTCCCCTACTCCGCACTATTGCATTACTGTGTAGCGGAATCAATTTAGCCACGTGTTCCTGCTGTCTATGTATAGCAAGATCTACCAAAAATTGTCTCGAAGCATGAAATCGGTCTTAGAATAGATTGAATTAAAATATCAGTTAGGCCAGTTGCCAACAGTTACGGTTAGCCCTCCCCTTTGTAATTTAATGTTCACGAAAACTCGATGAATATCAAACTAAATCCTAAATACTCCTTAATCCAAAGAGCGATTTAAAAATGGAAAATACTCCCATAAAAAATGTTTGCTCTCCCTCCCATGTACTTATTAAACGCTGTCGCCGCATTGTATATGCAACATACATATATGATACGATGTAATATATATATAAAGAGGATAGCATTTTATCTTGGTTTCTTTTTAACTAAGTATTTTACGATAGCATTAGATGGGTATTAAAAACTCGACTTAATCTATATATAAAATTCGGTTATTCATAAATGGTTTGCCTTCCTAGTTGCAAGATGAAACCACAACAACGACAACAACGGTTCCAGATGAAGGCGGTGATAATGGAAGTGCTGCTGCCACAATATCTGCTGCTGTAACAATAATCGCATTAAACATCGCACACTTTTTTAAAAAGTTTTTATTTTGAAAACTATATATACTGCTCGCTAATATTATTTTTACACACATACACACATACACATGTACATTTTTAATAAAAGAAACGATCGATATATAAGTGATTTGTCAGACAAATTCATTGCATATACCTGGATAACGATGGGAAATAATTGAAGTTATTGGGGGTACAAATTAATTCGATTCGCTTCCTAAGATAAGAGTATGAGCGGTACTCTAAGGCCTACGCCTTGAAACTATGACTTTTTTGTTTAAAAGCACTATCTTCGAGCTATATACAAATGTACAAATTATTACACTTTTCAAAGCGGCCCGAACTACTTTATAATCCCAATAATTGCAGAGATTTATTTTATATATTAACTGAAATGTTGAGGGAACCTATTGTAAGTCATCCCTCCGAATGTAAACTGTTCAAGCGTTTTATGTCAATTTTTGAACTTTGTTCAAATTGAATAAATTAATTCTAAAAATTTACGTCAAGGCTTGTTTCCGCCCCGCTAAACTTGCGAAAAGAAAAGACGTAAGACAAATTTCTTGATCTATATCCCATTTGGGAAAGAGAACATAACTCAATTCGAGTTTCCAAAGCATAAAATGGGGTAAGTAAAGTTTCTAGCTTGTGCAGTTAACTATAGTTATAGTTATCACAGCAACAAGTGAAATCATGCAATAGGGATAATAATACGATAACCCTATATACAATCATTTAGCGAATCAAAGGCTCTCTGCTTTATTATGCAATCGATTATCGTGCAAAATTTTGCTACGAATATTAACAAATCAAACTCAAGTCATTTATTACTTTTCCTAACGTTTCGAAATTTTAAACAACTTATCTAAAAAGGCGAAAAGAAAACGTATATCGTGTAGCTGTCGAATCAGAATTATTGTTCGGGATTAACGCGGAACTGAACACATGAAAGAAAATGTTTAGAAGAAGGTGAAAACTGTGCTTGCCCCCTTCCCTAAAAGGCGATTATCACAATTATTATTTACAGCTACAAGGTGCTTAACAGCATTTCTTCTTTCTCCTTGATCTGCTAGATGAATAAACTGTCAAAATTTGAAAATGAAATTTTCTTTAAAAAATTTGATTTTTCTTCTCAAAGGCAGTTGATTGTAATTTGACAGTGCACACAGCTTTCTTGCATCCCCGAAGAACATAATAAATTCAAAGCAATTCCACGAAGCGGTTTTTGTTTATAATTGCAAACTTTCAAAAAACTTATTGGCATCATTGGTTAACATTTCAAATGTTAGTTAACAGAATATCACAATTTCTTGCTTTCTGTGGTCAACATACAAAAGCTGAGTTCGTAAGCTTTGAGCTTACTCTCTCGATTCACAACGTTATAGCTCGAATTACATTTCGTCGTGTCCTGGGTTCTGTTTTGTTAGGCAGGCAGTATTTTTCACTCTCATTGTGGCATAATTCATTCGTTAATCGGGGCGCTGTTATTAATATAGTTATTTATATTTTCATTTTCTCTTCATTTTCTTTGTAACAATTTATGACCATTGGTTATAAAATTCAAGTATCAAAAAACGATATCATCATACTCAACATAAAGAAAAAAGAAAGCCGTCTCCCCTTAAGCGACTTTTGCGTATAAGAACTTTTTTGAAAAAATTTAATTTTCAAGTAATTAATGATATGGAAAACAGAGACACTAACTGAACTAAATCCAAATGAATGCAACGCTGTGCCTGCATACATTGAATATAAGAATATAAAATGTTAGAAACGTACTTTCTCCTTAGAATAAATCTGGGACATTCACCGTTTACAATGCGTATTAGACAATCTAAAAAGTATTGATTCTGTAAATACTTCATAATGACTCATTCCATAAACATATTTGGTCGAATAAAAGTTGGACTTATAATTAGTAATGAGATTTTCCGATTGATGAGATGTGCACGATTACTAAAACTTCATCCTATAGGGAAAACATATTCTTCCAAACTACGCTAGGCAGATGGGAAAAGGCACTCAACTGAATCTTACTTCTAGCAAAGTCAAAAATTAATATTCTCGGATGAACAGGGAATAATTACGGTCGCATTTTTTTTTTTTTTTCAATAAGCTTATCAGCCATAGGTTGGTTACCCGCGAATCATCTGATTTCCTATTGCAATTATGTTGTTAGCCAGAATATATATATGGCCGTATATCTCCCCCATATATTATTCTGACAGATCCAATGTTCAGAATATACATCAATTAGCCGATATTTCTTACTTCTGTTGCCGATCATCGTCGGACCAGTTGTAAACTGTTTCATTGCCATTGACGGCGTTTACCACCCCCCTATTGTAATTAATTGCCTTACAAACAATGTTTAGGTTAAAATTCAAAAAAAAATTTATTCATCATGTATATATACTTGTTTATAGATAATATATTTCATATACATATATCGGAAATTTGTTGCTACTGTACGTTGGAACTACTTTTTTCTCCTATTGTATTTTCTATAGATACATACGGATACATAGATAACAAGATAACAATAACGACTTTGCTAAGTAAAATACATTATGCTCTGACGGATAAGTTATCAGAAGACAAATATACATTTATATAGGTGTATGGAAGTTCTTGTTCAGTAATTGGTGGATGTCGAAATTTATCTCTGCGATTGTGTATGTTTGTATGTATGTTCGTGTGTGTGTGTGTGTGTGTGTGTGTGTGTATGGGTGCGTGTGTATGTTTACATCAGTCTTATGAGTTAACATGAAGGCGGGAATTTTTCATGCGATTCTTTACAGTTGCTGCGGAAGATTTCGAATTTATTGCTCTACACTCGTTGGCAGTGCTCAACGTTATACCCAATTGAGACAAATAATAAGTTAACATTATCCCAAACTGCACCTAAAATAAAAAAAACGCAACTGCATTTATAATTATCTTATATGAAAAAAGAAAAACTGTAAAGCACTTACTCCAGCACTGGGCGCTGCTAAGATAAACATGTTAAGGCCGATTAGGGAATCAGATATAAGGAAAAGTAGACCGCCAATACCGCAACAGATATTGAACAAATTTCCTCCTTGATAAATACGAGCGAGAGAACGCCAACACATGGTCGCTAACAGTACCGAATAGATCGGTACGCCGATTTTCAAAACTTTATCCAGCTTGCCGTAAATAATGCTAAGTACTTATTAACGAAAAAGACAAAATAACAATTCTTACGGAAAATGTCCAAATTATATCCAAATTTCATCTTACCTGCAACCCCCACTAAATAGATTATAGCGCCGATCCAAAATTTCAAAGGTCTCCATCCAAAAGATCTTATGTAGAAGATGTGAGCCGCACCGAATAATGCCATGCCATGAGGAAATAGTCCAACATTTAGTAAGGCATCACCGCCACAAGAAAATATTAAGCCCCATAGCACCAGCTTAGAGCGCTTGTAGCTTTTAAGATAAAGACATATGTTACATTATCTGTGTTATAACATTTTTATGCAGTTCACCTACTCTTGGCCGAAATCGAACTCTTTCATTAATATGTATAGCGTTAAACTGATAATGGGGGTGCATTTTAAAGCCGTACTGGAAAATACTCCAACATAGGGTTCAAAAATAAAATACAAAATAAATGAAATCAGAAAAGGCAGTAGTTTTACGGCATGGCTGCTCTGCAATAAAGATTAATTCAGAAAAAGAAAAAAGAAAGAACAAGCTAAAATAGAATTCTTGGACAAGGCCAGGTATTAAGTACCCTACACCACTTGACAAGATAGATCTGAGTAGACGTGGACTATATTTACTAGCCGCCCTTATTCGGGAAAGGCTCCAAAGCGTGGATGCACATTGTCGGAACTTGATATAGTTGTTTTATATGGTAAAACATTATTTTAGATCAATTTTCACATTCAGTTACTAAAAGTTGCATCCTTTCAATATACAAAGGCTTAAGTCTTGGAAGACTTATTTATGGTATTTTACTTTCTAGGATTATTCGACTTAGCATTATTTTATTTGTAGGACTATTTGAGGATTATGCCACCGTCGTGATAAAATGTGACGAAAAATTACTGTTATTCAGCAAGAAACGTTAAAAATGAAAGACTTTATTCATACAGCGACGTTCTTCAAATAAGGCTTTACGTCGTGATTGGTGGAGGAAATGCATCGATCTAATTCATTGTCAATTTCCATGAAATGTCCCATGGAATTCCTTCTTGTATCTGTAATACAAAAATAATGGGCAATCATAGGACAGATAGACAGACAGTCAGAGGGATAGTTAAATCGATTGAGCATCTTATTCTAAATTGATTGACATGATAGCTCCTCTGGCTGTTACATCCGCACAAGCGTGGGATATCCTTGCAGGAACACTAGTAGAGTATTACTAGGCTGATCCTGAAATATCCTATGGGTTATACGACATTTGAAAACCTTTTCAAAATATGGCTTGATATGGCCCCAAAAATGGGCCCATCTAATTCGTTTTCAACCGGTTAGTGCACGAAATTTCACAAAAGCTTGCACACAAAAGTACATGGAGAGGCATAAAACAGACATACAGATGGGCAGATCGATTGATTAATATTATAAAAAAACAGGCGTACTTTGAGCTGTTCTGGGGACTTAACGTATTTTATCTGTTCGACCGTAAGTAGTGTAGAGTATACAACAACAACGAAAAAAATTGAGGTGAAAATTAGTATCAAAAAATTCGTAAATGCCATGTGTTATACAGTTCGTGTAGAGAAGTAGATGTAAATGCTGGAAAGCTTTTAACTCGGCCCATGTACGTTTGTCAGGGCGCAAATGTTGTAAGCATACGGCAAGTGGCTAAACTGATAAAAAGTTATATACAATAGAAATTAAGAGATTTAAAGAAGGTCAAGGTCATCAACCTTCAAGAATTAAATGAAAATTCTTCATTTCGCCAATTTACTTATTAATAACGGATTGTTATAGCCACTTAATAACGAAAAGCTATTCGATATTTAGATGAACCTTAGTCAAAAGGCAATAAATTAAGTAACGATAACGATGAATGGATTAACGCTACTTACAGCTTGTTTGTTGCTAACCATTGCAATTGCAGTTGTAGATTGACGGAATCTCCACTTATCGTGTTACGTCGTTACCTTTCCGTTCCCTAAAATACGAGCTCGTCTAACGTAAATGAAAGCGAAAATTAATAGCAGTTAGCAGTAAAATGTGTTTAACTTATAGAGTTAGTTGTTCTTCTTTAAAAAGCATGTGTTTCTCTCAATTAAGCGTGTACACCACCAACAACTGAACAATCCGATACGCAACTGAATGGCGCTCCGTTGAGAGCTCCATTTTGGCATTTTCAATCACACAACGGTAACGCTTTTGTGTTTTTATAAAGAAATGCAAAAGTTTTTATCAATCGCAAAACAGAAATATAAATAAGAGAATAATTATTATATGCAGGTCGTAACGACTTTTTTAACACTCTTAGCCGCCTTGATTTCATATTTCTTTGATTATTAAAAACGGGATCGACAAAAGGCATGACTTTCGGTTGAATGGAACTATTTTTATATCGACATTTTTTCTCAACCTTCCCAAGTTCTTTGGAGATCTTGAGTTTTGAACGAAACTATTGAAAAGCTAATCGTTATATATATGTAGAGCGTGAGAGTCGATCGATCGAAGAATAATTTTTACACAAAAATCTTTATTGCATAACTTTAACCGTAATTTTACCACGTGGTGTTCTTGAGCACTTTTTTGTTTTCTGATAACATTTTAACAATCAATGTTAAAAAATGAAAATATTTTTGTTGCATTTTAGAGTAAGTGAATGGCATCAACATTAACATGTATTTTTATGCCACGATGTGACTCACAGTCGCATAGTCAGAGGAAATTTGAGGTAGAGATACGTGGAGGGACGACTAAGCATAACATTTCATAACAGTAAACGAAGCGAAGTTTATGCAGAACTTGTAGCAACGATGATGACATTTTTTCTTTATTTTTCGCATTTTTTTTTTTTTTTATAGATAATTCGAAATCAGACCAAATACGACGTATCAATGGCTTTGAACCAGAAATACAAACAATAACATATTAATTATTTCCATGATTCGCGCATCGTTATAAAAAAGAAAACATAATCAGATTGGGATTAAGAAACATGTTGTATTAAACATTCAAGCGGTCTGTCTTGTCACTGATGAGCAGCAATTTTTGCAAAATCTCGTCCTTATGCATTCGAAGTTTGTTGCTTTTAAGTTTATTAAAGTTATTATAGCGTAATTTGTGGTGTCGTTGCACCCAATATGAACAAACATGATCATGATGATGGCAAGAGGGTACGATAAACACCTTTGCAAACCGATATTTGTCCTTTCATTTCTCAATAGATATTTTATTGTAAGAAACCTATCCGCTTCGATTACAAGATTTGCAAAACCCATAGGCGGCCCCCAATCACCCGACCTTTTACCACTGCATTGTCCACTTTCGATATTATCCATCGTCTTTTTATGGCTCCGCAGTCTTTCCAAAATTGAGAACACAACCCGTCATAGAAACACAATTCAAAATCTAATGCTCAGTGAGATCAATCATTAAACTATTGCACTACACTTCGCAAAAGTAATAACTTACTTAATATGCCTTGATTGCGATTGCCTGATACAAAATTTAATTAGTAAAATCGTTATCACCTTCTCCACCATTTATTCTCATTTAACATACCATTCGTTTACGAAAGAGCGAGCTTTCATTTTTCATTTACACGAAAGAGAGAAAATGCTTAACATATTTTGCTTAAATTCATTCTCTTTGCTCTTTGACTTTTGTTTATACAACATTTTTGTTGCCCCTTGATACAAACTTACGCAGCTAAAGATAGAGAGAGAGAGAGAGAGAGAGAGAGACAGAAAGAGAAGACAGCGAAGAGAAGATTATAAAGATGGTAGGAAGCAAACACGAAACTTGTGTTTGTATTTATCTCGAGGCGAATTTCCGTAACAATTGTGGGCGTTTCAGTTGGCCGATCAAGAAAGCTTTTAATTAGATTTGAGGACTAAGCCTGTCCATCTATAGCTCGAAGCCCGCAGTTAACATTTACACGTGCTACATAGAGATTCTTTCCTCGATCCCAGTTACAATTAAATTGAACCTTTGTACACTAACTAACTAAGGCCGAGTATGCCAGCAGACAAATCGATGTGATTCGAGTGACTCGAATTGATCAAATACTTTTTATGGGATTTCTTGCACGTACATTACGCGCATTACAAACGAAAAGACAAATATAGCTTACGTCGAGCTTCGACGATGTCACAAATATAGAAGCGCAATCAGCCTCTCTGCACTGTTGACCTCAAAATACTGTTGTAAACAATCGATAAACAAAAAAAAGGCAACAGGTGTTTTTTTAAGCTTTCACTTTCATAGTGAAAAGCTTAAAGATAAAAATAAAAAAAATAACAAAAACAATGAAAAAGAAAAAGAACAAGAACAAGTAAAAAGTTGAAACTTTTTCGTTAACGATTTTGCGCTCAACTATTTATACTAATTTGAAATGATAGCTTTAAGCTTTCAGGAAAAATCCTTATTTTCCTATCAGTTGCTTTTAATCATTCAAACGTGAGATTGTCTTACGCATCTGCAGGACAATATTAAAAAAAAATCAAACAAAAAAGAAAAAATATTAAATTTTTAAAAAAAAAAGAAGAAAATTTAAGCATTTAGCAAATCAACCAATTAAGGTGAAATATATCTCTTTCCGTTTGTTTAATGATTTCATTTCAATTTTAACCTTGTCGCCAGTGATATACATATACCTATATTTGCGTATATACATAAAAAAAAAAAAAACAAAGAAAGAAGAAAATTATTTTCTATCGTGTGTGTATCTGGTAAAGTTTTTTAACGTTAAAAAAAATGTTTCTCCTATTGACCCTATCGCACCCTCTCACAGATTTCAGAGACATATACACATATATATATATATATATATATATGTAAATCTGTAAAACTCTTAAGAATTTTTTCAGCGACCTTTACAAAAACAAAAGACATTATTTACTTATAATTCTTTAAATAATCTTTTATTTCCGTTTTTCTGTTCCGTCTCTTGATTGTGTGCGTAATTGATTTTAATTTCAAAATCCTCAATGAACTTGATAAGTCTTGGGTATAAATTCCCCTTATAGCCTCAACAACATTTATTATCCTTAACCCCCAGCCTATATCATACGTACATATTATAATATATATATATATATACCTACATATAAGTGTGCATATATGTGCACATATTTACTCACTTACTCATAAACTTGTACAGATATTTTCACTTTTTTTTTTTTCTTTTGTCACTTTTCACATTCCTTTGCCTTTGCTTTCGTTTTTATTATTAATAAAAAGCCGTAAGGCATTTCAAACGTAAGCATTTCAAGAGGTATTTGAGTAGAACGCTCTATAGAGCAGAGAATGGCTTGCCCTTATTTTCGTCGGGCTGATTCATTGCCACGTCAATCTTCAGTTGTAACAGAGAGCAGTGGTAACTGGTCCTTGGAGGATGAAGAACAAACAGACGACGCATTGACCTTGAGGCACTTGCAAATGGCCATACAATTGTTAACGGCCCCCTCGGTATGTTCAATTCTCACACCAGTTCGATTTTTAGAATTTACTCTTAATCGCAATCTCATCACCGTCATAGAATGAAGACTTAAATAGTGCCGTGACTTCTTTAATTTGTAAATATAAACAAAATTGGCCGAATATAACGAAACTGTAAGTAGTATTTACCCCAGGGGGATTGGCGATGAACGCCAAAAAATATTTGATTTCTATCTAAAGATGATTTCATTTTTCCTATGTGCATGCATGCAGTCGAATTGACATGGATACCCTAAAGAAATTTCCAAACTACGATTATTTATCGGACATTCAAGAAATATTGCTCGAAATGGACGAGTCCAGTGCGAGCGAAATTTTAGTGCTATTAGGTGAAGAATTAATAATCACTTGTTGCACGGGCATCATTGATCGGGCTTTCCGGTGTCTGGGCACGGAATTGCAAGAATTCCTTGGCTCATTGGATGGCGTTTACGATGTGTTAAAGTTGCAAGAAGTAAGGAATTCCGAGAAGAGAGAATTTCTTCATTTTCTTCCTCATTTTGAATTACTTTCTATGCGTTAGGAGGATGATTGCAGCGATACGGGTTTTGTTTGCGCTGGCGATGGTGAATTGATTTTTACCTCCGATCGACCTGTCATCGCTTGGTTACTATTGGGTTCGCTCAAGGCACTAACACGCATGCTTTTCAATGTTTATGTGAACATTAAAATCGAACCGGTTGAGGGGGATAATCGACGTTATCGTTACTTATTCTCGGTGGCTAAGGAGGTTCCTGCTCTTCGCTCTTTGGAATTAATTAAGCAGGCACCGGATGTACCGACGCAGCGTAGTAACTCAACTAATGCTGCTGATTTATCCATGAATTCAACAACATTTTGCAAAGCCTTTCCCTGGCATTTTATTATGAACGACCAATTGGATCTGGTACAGTTGGGTAAGAGCCCTTATGTGACATTTATGCCATCTTTGTTTTTTTCCTTATCAAATCTAATTAGTTCATTTTGCATTGGTAATATTCGTAAAATATCATGTTCAGACCTTTTGCCAGAGAGCGTTTAATCGGCTAAGCAATCTTTTGTGTAGAGTTAAGAGAGCAAAACCTAGGTAGAATCGAAGCGATTCATTCGGTATTACGATTCTGTAAAACCTTGTTTTTATCAGTCATTCACATGTACTTTCAAAAGGCATCACTACAACATTCAGTAAGAACTTTGCGTACGCGTGAAGCCATGTTTCTCAAGCAAAAATGGTACAAGTCTAACTTTATTGGTTCCAACTAGTTCAAGCACTACCCTAGGAGCTTCTTAGCTGAACATTCAACACTCAAATGGTTGAGAATCGCGGGAACAAGACAGACATTAATAAATGATCGACGTATGGTATTTAGTTTAACAGTTAGGCCAAATCACTGAATACCATTTCAGATGCAACATGTGGTTTTAAGCTATGACTCAAAGATTGATTTCAAAAATGATTGCAATTCTCTTAAAAGCAGACATGATGATGATCTTTTTGCACATTGCTTGATTCATTTACCCGCTCATCAAAAGCTTTTTGACTAGACGCGATGAACAGAGTCTATAACTACTTTCCCGACTTTTTTATTTGCAGGACGCGGCTTTAGTAAATTGTACAAGCCGTATATGGCTGATTACGGTTGTCACGCTACCACTTATTTTGATTTTAAGCGTCCTAAGGGCTTAACCGTGAAATTTCGCGATATTGTTCGCCGCACTTATACGCCATTTTTAATTGCTTTAAAAAATCCTGCCAACGTTGAGGATTTCACAGCTAAGGTGATTTTAAAAGGGTTCTCACGAACGTTATCTATACTGATATCTTTTGTATTTTGTATTTTGAAAGGGTCTTGAAATTAAAGGCCAAATGGTTCATTGCCCTGAGTCGAACTCTTTACTTTTCATCGGATCGCCATTTCTAGATGGCCTCGACGGCCTAACTTGTAATGGTCTTTTTATCTCTGACATCCCCTTGCACGACGCTACGCGTGAGGTTATCCTCGTGGGGGAGCAAGCTCGTGCCCAAGACGGTTTACGTCGACGTATGGACAAATTGAAAAGTTCGATTGAAGAAGCGAATGCTGCTGTCGCTAAAGAGCGGAAGAAGAACGTTAGCTTATTGCATTTGATTTTCCCGGCAGAGATTGCCGAACGTTTATGGTTGGGGGCTACGATTGATGCGAAAACGTATCCCAATGTCACCATTTTATTTAGTGACATTGTGGGCTTTACCAGCATTTGTTCGCGTGCCACACCTTTTATGGTCATTAGTATGCTGGAGAGTTTGTATAAGGATTTCGACGAATTTTGTGACATGTTTGACGTGTATAAAGTGGAAACTATCGGTGACGCTTATTGCGTGGCTAGTGGTCTACATCGGGCCTCCATCTATGATGCCCATAAAGTCGCTTGGATGGCTTTGAAAATGATCGATGCTTGCTTAAAGCATATTACGCATGACGGTGAGCAAATTAAAATGCGTATTGGCTTGCACACCGGTACCGTCTTGGCCGGTGTCGTAGGTCGGAAAATGCCGCGCTATTGCCTCTTCGGTCACAACGTTACCATTGCAAATAAATTTGAAAGCGGTAGTGAAGCGTGCAAGGTGAACGTTAGCCCGACTACCAAAGAGTAAGTGAGAAAAAAGGAAGTTTTTTTTTTTTTTTTCTTATCCATCGTTGATGTCATTCTTGCAGATGGCTTATTAAGCATGCAGGCTTCGAATTCGAATTAAAACCACGCGATCCCTCGTGTTTGCCTAAAGAATTCTCCAATGTCGGCAACGATACATGCTATTTTCTGGAGAGCTATCGCCATCCCAGTCTTGATGACTACCTACCATTGGATGATCATATCAAAGCTGCTATGAAAACTATAATACCCGTAGCCAGTAATTAAGCGAAGCCGTTCATAGACATTCTCATTAAATCCCACTACTATTCGGTGGGGATGTTATTAAATTACAATATAAAAGAGAAAACTTTACTTCATTCAAAAATTTTATTCAATAAATAGCTTCAGAGATTTAATATTTACGACTATTCTTATCTCTTAGAGCGAACACCTTCGAATAATCAGAACTTTCTCTACGCAGACACTTATGTAAAGTTAAAGCCATATCACCATAATCGTTTTTCTTATACAGGGCATTAGCACGATGTGCACAGTCTTCAACAATTTCCCGAGTGTGCTGTTTTAACGCTTGAGCCTCATCATAGCTTATCATAATTTCTTCAACCTTTAAAAAAAGGTTTTTTTTTTTTTTTTGCCATAAGAATGAATGATTATTTTGAGAAACCTTTCCGTGTCCAACTTACATCGACTCTTTGATAGGCATCCAAATAATGAAAATTGGCAAAAATGCATACAAATTTCAGTTGTTCAGCAAGTACAGGCTTAACAAGAAAATCTACATTGTTTGCGGTAAACAATCCGCCGGCACAAGTTTCGGTGGCAGACTCACCGATATTGTTCGCCGTCGTTTTCGGCGACCGCTCATTGAAGATGAATTCAAACAAATCCCGATATCTATGTTTACATTCCACTAAGATTTTGTAATAGTCCCGACAACGGCCACTCAAAGATTTCGGCAAATCTTTCACTCTTTCAAAACCAAAATCTTCACAAACGTCTTGCAATTTTTTTTGCTAAGTATCCAAAAAAAAAAAACAGAAATTAATTTTCAAAAAACAACTCAACAAATAATAATGGAAGAGCACAAAAATTTATAACTGACTAAAAAAAAAAAAAATAAATTTATCTTTAATAAATACACTACGTCCAAATCACGGCTACGTAGATCGATTAGACCCAATTTGTAAAACAGGCAGTAAACGTAACAATGGTTGGCGGGGGTATCTGCATAATTTGGGAAGGGCCCGACATCTGCGTATTTCTCCGCACATCGCATCTGAGCGAAACGCACGTTTGACTCCTTTAATACAAAACGCGACGTTTCATTTAAGGCATTTGCTCGCCGACTTGAAAATATAAAAACGATCAAAAATGGTATGAAACGCATTTCAAACGTTTCTTTTTTTTTTTTTTTTTTTTTTTACTCGTATTTTTATGTTTTATTTATCTTGTTTAACCCACAACCACGATATTTGAACAAATGTACCGGCAGAACGTACGCTGACAACTGCCGAACTGATAATAGTAAATTGATTGTTTTGCCATTAGCCAGAATATATGGCCGATTGCTTTCCATTCTAGCAGAGATAGGCTAAAAGAATTTTGTATTGTTGTTCCTCTTCAATCAGCTGATTAAATTTGATTTGTTTTGCTTGCTTTAGAAAAAGAAAAAAAAATTGAAAAAACAAAAAAAAAAAAAAAAAAATTAACAAATCCTTCAGAAACCTATTGAATGTACATTTAAAAGAGAAGCTTGTAATAATAACACGCGAAGGTGGCAGTGATGTGCAGACATTTCTCCTGTGCATGCAGGGGCACAAAGCTCACGGATATCGGATATCCGTCTTCAATAATTTGATGATTTTTAGAATACTAATCACACTCTCATCAAAATTGCATCCAGCAATGTCAGGCGCGATATATATCCGAGGCACTTTGTTTTGTGGAAAATTCAGAAATTTCAAGAGGAACATCTTTTCCGGGTAATGAATTTTATTCCACATACTCTAGATTCAAAGCATCTATTGAGCGGCAAAAAGAGGGATTGATTTTTTGATGAATTTATAATGATCTACTCTCTTAAAAGACCATCGTCTTCTTTTCTTTTTGATAGTAAACATAAATGAAATTTATTCAATTATCTATGGCCGCCTCGTAAAGTAATCGAGTTTTTTGATTACACTTTCAATCCGCCGGAAATATTTCCAATTTTCAAGCAATTGCCAACCGTCTCAGTTGCTTCTTTATTAATAGTTGCATGCCTTGCTTGCTTGCTTGCTTGCTTGCAATTTCTCCCTAGATCTCACCATTTCCACTGGTTAGCCTTGATCGACCAGATGCTGGGTCCGTTTCACGACGAAATTTAGTCTGCCTTCTCTACCGCAATTTTCAACTTTTACAGTTACCCCAGAAACGGCAGCAATCTTAACTTTTCTTTCTTGAACTCATATGCTGAACGCAAGCGATGCTGTTAACGATCGCTTTCTGTTAAAGCGACCAACGTGTTAAAGTAAAGAAGTAAACAAAATGAAGAAGAGGAGAAAACGGTAAAGGAGTAAAAAAAGCACCTTGTCGATCAAATTTTTCTTTTATTGTCCAATGCGCTTTTATGTTCTGAAGACTGTACTGCACGGGCATTTCAGGAGCATGGAGTTTACTATTTTCAGACCTTTTCTTGCTTTTCTAGAGCTTTTACGGGTATAAGCGCGAAAGGAACGATATTTGATCCCCTATTCGTCGGACACTGACCTCTCATCTGGGCGTTCACTGATTCATTGCATCTTCGTCCATAATTTGTAATGAGAAGTAATGAGAATAACTTTTCAATTTGAACGTAAAGGGAATAGAAAAGAAAATCATATGACACAGGTTACGAGTGCCGATAGGAAAATAATAGAAAAATATTGAATAATAATCAATTCGATTCTAAATTATAATTAGCAAATAATAAAGACTAAATAAGTAGATGATAATTCACGTATTATAAATAATGAATAATAACGAAAGCATGGTAAGTAACTAAATTCTAGATTATATATATATAGATAACTTGCCCTTGCGCATAAACAAATAAACATTTAAGCGTTTTGACTGACATGCATATAACTCTATGTCATGTCTATATAAAGTAATGAGATGTGATCTGCAAAAATTTTCCACTTTTTCTTTCTCGCTCACTGCATGAGAGCTTTCTTTATTTAAAATTTATCTCCCTACAACGCCACCTGGATGCGAGAATAATTTCTTTTCGTCAGGTTCTGGTATATGCTTTGCCTTTCTCGCTGCATGGCTGCCATATCTAACTATGTTTAGCCAATGAAAATAAGCTTCAACTCACATCCAGATGGCGCTGCAAAAAAGGAAAACTGTAAAAAAAAAATGGAAACACGAATAAATCGAAGAAAAATAGGAGAAAATGTTTACAAAATACTATCTTATCGCTTTAAGCGATAAGGGTTCACTTACTTACTTATACTAAATTATGAATAATATTTTCTTGTGTGTGTGTGTGTGTGTGTGTGTGCATGTGTGCATGTATACGCTTGTGTGTTTATACATACACATGTTAACCGCATGCCAGCTTAAGCTGAGATTCTTTTTAGCGCGTTATCTGTGACTTGAGTACAGCACACAACACACAAACACAGCAGCAACATTTGACCTGATAAGCTGTGAAATTTATAACAATACAGACGATATTTTAGTTAGTTTTCATGCATTGAATTCAGTCAGTCTTTCTGGGGATTTTTGAACGTTGAACGACGATTTATTTCTGTTGCGGCAAAATGAAGGAACTTATGTTGATTTTCTTATTAACAATCGTGACTTGTGTAAGCGCTTTTTTTTTTTTTCTTTTTGTTTATTTGCTATACTTACTTGGATTGCAATTGGAAAGTTATTCTATTCGCGTTCGCATTCATTTCTTAACAGATTAGGGCAGAGGACGAAGACTGGCAACCAAAAACTGTTGCAGACATCAAATCTATACGCAATGAATGTTTGAAAGAGCATCCGCTTTCTAATGAGCAGATAACTAAAATGAAGAATTTTGAATTTCCCGATGAAGAAGAGGTTCGTCAATATTTACTTTGTACCGCTTTAAAAATGGAAGTTTTCTGCGCCCATCAAGGCTATCATCCCAATCGTATTGCCAAACAATTCAAAATGGATATGAATGAAGAAGAAGTGTTGGAAATCGCAGAAAAATGTCACGACTCCAATCCGGATAATAGTTCCGTCGATGTTTGGGCTTTCCGCGGCCATAAGTGCATGATGTCGAGCGCAATTGGTGACAAAGTCAAGGCTTACATTAAGAAGCGTCAAGAAGAGAATGCAGCGAAAAATGCTTAAAGAAGCTTTGCTTCATTCCTGGCACAACATAACATGAGCATAATGTAATGATTTGTGTAATGCATAATGAATAAAACATTTTGGACTGATAGCTAGAGAGGAAAGGATTCACTTGCACGTTATTATTATTTTACAGCTTTTATAGAGGTCGTACGGAATTTTGAAGAGATTGAAAAGCAAAACAAGACCGAATTTAAATATCGAAACGATAAGAAACTTTGTGGCCGAAAAATGATGAAAAATTTACTAATGAATCGAAATATATCTAACCCTTCATAACCGCCGACACTTTTCTAATATATTTATGTTTTCCTTACTTAACCTCTAACGGCTATTGCATTGCGTACGAAAGGCCTTGAAATAGGAATTTTTATGTACACTTGGAGAATAGTATTTCTCTGTATTGCAGTCTATTTTAGAAGCTGTTGATGCACTCTACACAAACACTGACATGCTATTCATTTTCTCTAGATATTTAAAAGTTGTGCGTCCGAACGGGATTCATGTTTATGTGTACATGTATATGAACATGAATAAAATAGTTTGCATGTCGGCGATACTTATGGTCGGGAATAGTTTTCATAGCAGAGAATTTGCATTCATTGAAAGCAACTCTGTGATCCTCCGGTGCTCCCTCGATTCTCAGCAAAAGCCCAGATATTTTAGGCAGTCGTTAGACGTTATTGCGACTCAAATAAATTTGCGCGCAACATTCACAGGATCTATGGATGAAAATAGACATTTGCTTTGTCGTCTGTGATAAGGAAACTACGGTTAATTCGATCCAAATTCCATTACTACAACTTTTACTTCATTATGGAAATGCCCCTAAAATGAAGAATAGGGAGTAATAACTTCTAACCGTCACTAACTAGATTCAGCTGCTAAAGCGATTAAAATCAAGAATGTTTTTAAGGTTTCCCACACATACCGAGAATGCTTTGTAACGGAAACTGTAAGCCCATTACTTTTTAATCCCTAACATCATTGTCTTAATGGAACCAGAATCTTTTACATTGGGTTCAGTTAAGAGTGAGAGCCATTGGAAAATTTTTAGAACACCTTTTTTCGTCTTTTATTAACTTAAATGACCCTTTAAATAGTTAACGACACTCTGGCTTTACAGACCAACCTCTAGAGTGGTGTACTCAGTCGAGCTACTTGATGTTTTAAATGCATTTTTCTAGAAATAGGATTTCTCGAGAGAGCTGAAACGGCTTTTATTCGTTAACGTCTCAAATGGTTTTCGTTGAATTGTTATAATTTAAAACTTAATTTATTAAAAAAAAGATTTTTCCTTTTTTTTTTTTTTTGGAATGAAAGGAATGAGTGTCGTATTTTTTAAGCTGAAACTCATTAAAGTGAGAGATTGTCACCGCAACACGAGCAGATATGTAAGAGGAAAGCTGGACAATTTAAGAAACAAACGCAAAGAGTCAGAGGAAAGCAAGAATAAACTTAAAAATAAACTTTTATGCAAGGTGTATGTAAGGTACGCGAGAAGGTATTGAGCCTTATAATAATATTGCTAGAATTCTAAACCAACATATCAAAGGTTAAGGTGTATAAAAATGAGGCTCAATACTATTTAGACTAACTAATATATTTCATTTATTTATAATTATAAGTTAAAAGTTTCATTTTTGTGCTTGCGACGCTATTAAGAATGCTTCTTCTTCATCGTCGTCGACGTCTTCTTAATCGTTCAGAGACAAATAGGCGATATCGATAAGTAACACTGTTTCATACCAATCAAATCACTACGCGATTGCATTGTTTCGATTATGATTGTTTTTTTGTTCTTCTCATATTTAACCTCACGTTATAAATATGTGTTCGTTGTTTTTTTTTTTTCCAATTCTTCAATGTTTTTTTTGTTGTTTGTGTTTTTTTTTTAACATTTTTTTCCCTCTTTCTTTTTCACATTAAAAACGTCAGATACAGTCATCAGATGATACTTGACAAAAAAGTTAATTTAACTTCAAGTGTTAAGCTTGAGCAAGACAAACAAACGAACGCCTGCCAAATAATGAAATCAACAATCAACCCGTACTCTCTCCACACACACACACACACACACATATATATATATATGCGCCTTCATGTATATGTAACAAGCAAACAGATTCAAATCAAATCGATTCACAATAACTTTTGTTTCGTTAATATCTCCCTTCTCTACATTTTTCCTCTCTTAAGAAATGACGGGCGAAGCATTCTTCTGACACTTGAAAGAGAGAAACAGGACTGCAGGATAGCAACGAATGCTTTAAGTTAACTGAAATTGTAATTTTTAACTGCACTCACCATTTCGCCTTAAAAAAAACAAGACGGATATTACTTTATTTCCGTTTTTTTTTTTTTTTTTTTTTGCTTTTTGTTTCTCTTTCTATCATTCTTTTTGTATGATATCTTCTTTCGTTGACTTGAATCTTATCTCTTTTCAAGTTTCTTGCGTTGCCAAAGATTATTTGCATGCTTAACACAAGTAACGAAAATATATTAAACACACATACCCTCGCACACATGAACACAAGCCCATGCCCAATAAGCTCTGCTTTCTTCCAACACGCTTTCACTGTAAACATTTTACCTCACATGTCGTCTGTCGTGTTCAACATGCCGTAAAATTGTCTTTTCAACTTGTTTTACTTTTTTATTCTTAGTCGCTTTTCTATATATAATCTTACAATTTATTCTTCAAGCTTCTTATTACTGTTGTCGGTTGTTGCCAAAGGACAATTTTAATTTTGTTATCTCTGCCGCTGTTGTTGGTCTCTCTGTTAACATAACAATAGCAGCTTTGTTGTGATGTACTTGTGCCCCGCTTCTTTCACTTTGGAAACTTTTTATTTAACTATTATTTCTGCTAAAAGAAACATTGTTTTTTTATTCCCATCACAAAAAAAGGAATAATAGTAACGCATAGGAGCATATTTTAGAGATCTCACGAAGCAGATAAATATTTACTTGGGGGTAAAGCTAAGTTTGCTTATTCGTTTATTCTACACGACCAATTATTTGATTACCTATCCATACCATCCATCCATTGATACCAAAAGGAACTTTGCCTAGACTTCTAGAGGGTGTTCGAAAATTGACAAAAGATATGGCGGAACAATGATTTAACTGAGAGGTTAACTGCGACGAAATTCAATAAACATATTTTGGAGAGAGACCGGGACAGATGTTCATTTTGTTTAACGTGAGCATCCGACGGTGCACGGGTTGATTTCGTCCACTAGAGAGTTAGACAATTCCTATAAACTAGGGCCTTGAACTGCACTAGGGGAAGCATGCATCTCTTTTGCGTATGACAAAGAGTTGTAGTTATTGCCGCCACGAATACTGAAACACTCGGGCTGTCCTTCAAAACAAACAAAACATTGACGTAAAAGTGTTGCTGATAGTTGAACAACATTAACTCGCCACCGTGCTCAAGAATTGGAAAGTTTGAGGAGCCCTCCTGCCGCATACTTTCGGAAAAAAAGTTTAGCTGATGCAAAAATTGAAAACTGCTGACCAAGCGTAGTGTTGCATTGAACAAATGGAACGAGAATAAGTGAATCGTATATATCTAGTAAGGTATTCAAGGGCCGACATCATTTCGAAAAAAAAAGATTTCTTTCTTTGCTTGATACGTAATGATATGAATGAATGATAACGTCATTCTAAAAAAAAAAAAATAGAATTATTGTGCCTTAAAATATAGGCGGTACCATCGCTGTGAATGAAAAAAACAAAACTTTTTGTTTTTTGGCAAAAAGACCAAGAGGTAACATCGCCCTTTCTGCTAGAAGAGGGAGATTATTTCAAAATCCTCTTTTGGGTACCAGTCCGCTTAATCGAATTGTATCCAGTTTTAGAAATTTGGACTACAATCGATAGCTTTCACGCTCGCCCCTTTCAAATTTCGTTAGCAAATAGAAAATTTCTTAAGCAGATCAAGTACAAATTTTAATATTAATAAATTTAATTTATTTAAAAATTAACTCCTCAACCACTTTTTAAATATTTTTTTCAAATTTTTCTTATTAGTACTGTTATGTAAAAAATGCTTTTTAATCGTTTTCTTAAAATTTTTTTTTGTAGATATCGCTATTTCGTCAATTATATGATGCTGGTCGACAATTTCTGACGCGACATCATACCAACATTTAAATCTTGTTTTCTAAACTGGATCATAAGAAGTGGGATTGATTTTATTGGGATCGATCAACATACTTACCACGTCTTGGCTACTCAATATTATTCGGATGCGGACGCTTACCATTTAGCAAATTGCATCTTCACTGTGATTACGTCAAACATAAACTTATCGTGTACAGTAAATAGAAACAAATTTTTATTTATTTTAATTAATTCAAGTTTTTATTTTACTAGATTTATTTGCTTGTATTTATATTCTATAAATAGATCTTATAATGAAAAAAGTAACAATAACGAAACAATACAAATAAAATGAAATAAATAAAGAACAAAGCAAGAATAAATAAATTTGTTTGGTAATTCGTTTGCAAGCAAGCAATGTAAGTATTACATGTGGACAAAAATCAACGTTTAATTTTTTGTAATAAAACGTTTAAAAAAAAAATTTTTTTGTGGTTTTTCATTTTTTTCTTGTTTTAGGAAATTTTTTACAAAAATTTTTTGTTTTTGTAAAATTTTTTTCCAAAATTTTTTTTGTTGTTTTTGTAAAAATTTTTCCAAAAATTTTTTTGGTGGTTTGGGGTTTTGATGTTTTTGATTAGAAACATTTTTGTGCATATAAACATTTTTCAAATGTTGCTGAGCATTCTAGCAAAAACGTGAAAATGGCCATTTTTGAGGCGGTTTATTGGCGTCCCTAGCGGTCCTAGGACCTCGGGACTGGGTCCATTCGATTCCTTGGGTCGGCCCCAACCCATTCCAAGTATAACCATGCCTCTAAGGGGCGTAATACGGCCGCTAGAGTGCTTTAAAGTTGCCGATTTTTCCAAAAGCATGCATATGCCTTACCATATTCTTAGGCAACATTTCCATTAGTAAACAACAACAACAACAACAACAACAACAACAACAACAACAACAACAACAATGTTTATATACAGCGTGTTTAGCAACATAATGTTGCCTAAGAATATGGTAAGGCATATGCATGCTTTTGGAAAAATCGGCAACTTTAAAGCACTCTAGCGGCCGTATTACGCCCCTTAGAGGCATGGTTATACTTGGAATGGGTTGGGGCCGACCCAAGGAATCGAATGGACCCAGTCCCGAGGTCCTAGGACCGCTAGGGACGCCAATAAACCGCCTCAAAAATGGCCATTTTCACGTTTTGGCTAGAATGGTCAGAAACATTTGAAAAATGTTCATATGCACAAAAACGTTTCTAATCAAAAATATCAAAACCCCAAACCATAAAAAAAATTTTTGGAAAAAAATTTTACAAAAACGACAAAAAATTTTGGGTAAAAAATTTTATTCACAAAAAATTATACAAAAACAAAAAAATTTTTTATTTACAATCTAATTTCTGTTTTTGGAAAGAAAATTTTACAAAAACAATTTTTAAAGAAGAAGAAGGAGGACGAGAAGAAGAAGGAGGAGGAGAAGAAGAAGGAGGAGGAGAAGAAGAAGGAGGAGGAGGAAAAGAAGAAGGAGGAGAAGAAGACGGAGAAGAAGAAGAAGAAGGAGGGGGACGAGGAGGAGGAGAAGAAGAAGAGATTGAGGAGGAGGAGCAGAACAAGGAGGAGAAGCTGAAGAAGAGGAGGAAGAGGAACCTAAAATTTAACAGAACCGACAGGAATAGCAGGAATAGCAGGCGGAGCAGCAGTAACAGCAGCGGCAGGAGGAGGAGCAGCAGCAGGAGGAGGAGGAGTAGCAACAGCAGGAGGAGCAGCAGGAGTAGCAGCAAGAGCAGCAGAGACAGCAGGAATGGCGGCCAAGTCTGAGCATCCTGCCGACTTCCACACTTCGATCTACGCCACAAGGCAGCAAAGAAATGCTTTTCATATTGCAATAAAAATGCATTGTCTTACGTCTATATTTTTACAATTCAATTAAGAATTATGCAGCATTTAACGATGCATAACCAAAATATGTGTAAGAAAGCGTTTGTATAAAAGCTGTATATAGAACTTGTGTATAGAACATGTATGCAGAACAGAGACGGAATTAATATACCGAACAATAGTAGCATCTAATAATGCAAACACAAGATATTTGTAAACAAAGAGAACTTTTATGCGAAACTTGTAGGATCATATTAAGAAAGCTTTTGCACAAAATTCGCGTACAGAACACCCATATAGAACATGTATGCTGAACAGACACGGACTTCAATCTGCAAACTTTCTTTGCTAAAATGGTAAGTGTCTGCGTCCGAATAATATTGAATAGTCAAGACCTGGTAAGTATATTGATCGATCCTAATAAAGCCAATCCCACTCCTTTTAATTCAAGTTAGAAAACAAGGTTTAAGTATTGGTATGATGATGGATGTCGCGTCAGAAATTTGTCGACCAGCATCGTAGAATTGACGAAATCTCGATATCTATAAAAAAGTTGAAGAAAGAAAGATTAAAAAGTATTTTTTACATAACAGTACTAATAAGAAGAATTTAAAAGAAATTTAAGAATAATTTTAAGTGGTTTAGGAGTTGATTTTTAAATAAATTGATTTTATGAACATTAAAATATATGCTAAAAAATTTAAAAATTTTAAAAAATTTTTCACGAAACATTATTGAGAACTCTACCGCACTTGAGACTTAAACCCACGACCATTAACGAGCTGAAGATAAAAAACTACATTTTTTTCCCTTCATTTCATTTAAAATATTGAGATCTTACAAAGCCTCTACTCCTAAAGAATGTAGAGATCAAATTTGTTCGAGCAAGATTAACTGGTCCGTCTATCTGCTGACGAAATTTGCAAAGGGCGTGTGTGAAAGCTGTCGATTGTAGTCCAAATTTCTAGAACTGGCTATAATTCGATTAAATGGACTGGTAACCAAAAGAAAGCTTGGAAATAGTCAACCTCTTCTAGCAGAAAGAAGAAATTGTTGTCGTTTCAATTTAGGAGGATGTTGCTTACCACCCCTTGCTTGAAACGCAAATTTTTGTTTTTCCAATTTAGAACGATGTAATGCCTTGGTTTACCGCTAGACTAGAAATGTCACTTGTTATTGTCGAGGACGCTGCTGATCGATGTATTTCTCTCGGATATTCGGATGCACATATGCGACAGTTTTCCATCTTTGCAATGACAATGGCGATGCAATGAAATGGGAAAACTAAAATCGCCGCCTAAATCGACCGCTGCTCGCCTTGTTATGAAGGTTCTCTTTTAAGCGTAATTAAATTTTATTCTTTCATTTATATTAAACCGTTCCCTGGGCGCTGGCATATACCGAGGATGTCGAAATAGTAATCTTCATAGACCATATATTGGTGAGAATTATAGAGGCAAATAGAGGCAATGCGCTACCAACAACTGTTCGAATGTGGCTTTCACCTTCAAATTCTCTTTTCACCATGTGTCTTAAAAATACATTGGAAAAATCTTTGGGTCTACTTGTCACATTTTTGGAAGCTTTCTTTGTCTTTTATACATTGATGGAGTCATAAGTTATTGATTGTTTAGCTTCAAGCTGATTGACTTTCTATTTTCAATACAGATTGTGAAGAGAGTTGTTTAACTCGTGTTTTGCTAAGGCCTTGAGTGGGTTCAATACTCTATTTGCTTTCTCGTTTGACAGTAAATCGTCGCTCATTAAATCGGCTGGCATTCTAATATATTCTGGTGACATTAAGCTATGGTTATCTTGCAAAGTTGTGTTAGTGAATTCCGACCTTCCGCCCTTAAGCTTAAATGAATTTAAAATAATAGCTTAAGGTCGAACGACCGACTTCTTGGATTAACGTATCGTAGTTTTTTGGCCCGTAAGTGGATTTTTTTCTACTTTAACTTTCATAGCGAGTCTAGCTCAAGCCTATACAAATCATTTTGTATGCCACCTAAGCAGAAAAGCTTTTTTAAAAGAAAATCGTTCCTAATTTGAATCAAGTTCATGTCGGCACATCATATCATGCATATATACATGATAAGTATTTGTTGTTGTTGTTTATTTTGGAAAACGACGTAAGTTATCTTAACCACGAAAACCGCTTGTTTTTAAACTGATTTTATACATAAGGGAAAGGAAAATCTAGTAGAAATATTAGGTTTTTAAGAAACATAAGATAATAGAGCAACAGTTTTTAAACAAAATGAAAGAAATTTTAGCAAGAATCACAATTCACATCTAATACCTAAGCATATCATGACACCTGCAATATTATTATGTATTTGATGTAAGAGAAAATGTATCGATTATATGAAAGTGATTGTCTCAAATGGAAGGAAAGAAAAAAACTTCTTAGTATCGATTAACGTAAAGTGATTGTCTCACTTTAGGAGAGAAACAACTTCCCTATATATATATCCTTTGCAAATTCCTTTTCTTATATTTTCTTGGCAGTGCCAGGGCATAATCAAGTTTCAAAGAATCGCTCACTACCTTTCTTCTTTGTTTTTGTTTTTTTTTTTTTTGTAAAAATAATACAAAATTGCAAAATGTTTTATATTTGAAGTCAATATGACACCAAAATTGCTAATAATATAACATTAGCATGAACAATAACAAGCATAACAAAAAAAAAAAACAAAAAACAAAAAAGCAACTCTTAAGTAATACGACGCCAAACATTTCCGTAATCAATATGTAATCCGGAATGTGACCGGGATGTGTTTGAATGTTACGAGAAGGGTGTTAATTTTCTCATTACTTTGTTCTTGTAACATATACTCTTATTATTTATTATAATGTAATATGTACACATAGATGTATGTACGCAATAATAATACTTGAGGAAATACTTAAGAGCGTTACTCGTCATCATTGTTGTTTCTTTTTGCTTTCTATACTTGTGTGTGCGTGTGTATGTTAAAGAGTAGAAAATAACAACAAATTTGCAATTATTAAATATTTATAAATTGTTTGTATCGTATGAATGTTTGTTGGGCAAATTTCATATTCAAGTGCAGAGCGAAAGAAAGGGAGAACAAATATTAATTGACGATATTTTGTAATCACGTGCTTCACGTTTTTTTTTTTTCTGTTTTTGTTTTTGTTTTTTTGTTACCTATAAACAATGTTTCCTTTCATAAAAATTACTATTGAGACCCGAATGTCCCGAAGTGTGAAAGAGAAAACCGCTATGCATATCGAATTATTAGTTGTTGTTGTTGTTGTTGAGAGGTCCTTTAATTAACCCCTCTAAACTTTTTGTGACATTTTGTGTGCATTCTGTTTTGTGTTTTGCTTGTATGTAATACGATGATGATGATGATGGATACTTAATAACAATGTTTGCGCTGGTCTTAAGAGAAGAAAACGAGAGGGTGCGAGAGAGAGATAGTATTATTAATATATTTTTAATGACATGAATAGAAAAATGAAATTATAATTAAACAAAATGTTATTACATAGGCTCGTATTCTTTCTTGTATCTTTAATGTTGCTTATACCTGCAATTATCTCAATATGGCTGCAAATCTGACCTTTAACCTTATATTATAAAAGTAAGTAAAGAGCATTTTTCTCATCTTTCCCCTTCTCATTTCAAATTCAACATTAGTTAAAATATTTTCCATCCAGCTGTGAGTTTTATTTGATTTTTATTTCGAAACCCTATAAGAAGAAGGGTGGGTTTGATAAAGCGATATTAAGAAAAAAAAAAAAAAAGAAAAGAAAAAAAAAGAAAAACTCATTTAAATAAAAAAAAAAATAAATAAATAAATAAATAAAAAAGTAAAAAGGAAAAAACAACAATTTCGTCTTGATTTTAAAAACTTTCCCAGTGTACCCAGTACCATATACCATTTTTCTATTTTCAGCTACTATATATATATATGTATCTGTGCTATTATGATTTCAATTAATTGAAGCCATTTTGCATTCGATTATGTTTTGTTTTCTTCTATTTTATTCTCCTTTTGTTTGCTTAGTTATCCGATTTCTAGTCTACGGCGACTTTACTCACATATTCATTGTATCTTTTTGGCTTCTTTGCCGATTGTTATTCTTCCCACTTGTCATATATTCTGACAATAAAACAACCTACAAATACAAATATACGCACTTGACTGCGTGGTCTTTTAAAAAGAATGTATTCTGTTATTATTTTACCGCATTATTATGATGTTGCAATAATCTCGTTCAACTTTCTCGTGGCTCATTCATTCAATCTATCTGAGGCGGTAAGAAATTTTTTCTATTAATTTGATCTGTAACAACGCGTAATTGATACTTTTTTTCGCGTTGTATATTCTGTTCTTCTTCTATTTGCTATATTTTTTTAGCGTTGAACGGTGAAAGTGTACTAATTATCTCATTCGGCTTGTAACACTCGCCTAATGAGATCCTGCTTACAATCTAAACGATCGATTAGGAACTTACTTAACTTACTTTCCGAAACTTTTTTGACAAAAAATTATATCAATCTGAAGTTTAATGAATTGCTATTGAAAGCAATAATAATTCCCTCGGAACCGCGGAAAGCTCTGAACTTGATTTGATGGGTATCCAAGATACCCCGTAAAGCGAATACAATTTTTTCAATTCTTGTTAACATTCTATTCTCCATTCACTTTTTTATCTTATCGATAGACGTGTATGTGCATGAAAGTACATATTGCGCACCTTTATGGGACTTACTACCCAACTGGCGTTTGATCATCCAGGCTTTTGTGTCGTAAGAGAGAAAGAGTTTATTTGCAAGTCTTTGTTTATTTGTTGCCTTTTTTGTACTCTGCGGTCTATATATATATATATATATATATATATATGTATATGTGTATATATATAGCTACCGTTTTGAGTTTAACCGGCAAACAAAATCATTCTTCATATTCACCTGCTTCCAGTTTTATGTTTGTCTTTATTTAACTTGGTTGGTTAACTTGTCGGTCTTAGTTCATTTGTTTTTCTTTTCTCTTCTGTTTTGTTTTTTCTCTTTTTTGTCTTTTTTTAAACCAGTGTATCTATCCATTATCAACGTTATGATTATCAACACATTAACATTATGTGCGTTTATGTGTACAGCAGGAATGCCTCATCCAGTTATCCTTACTTTTTTCTCGTGTTTATTGTATTCGCCAGTGAAGCACAATATTTATTGTAGCTTTGGTTGTTGCACACACAGATAATTTTTTCCTTTTTTTTTTTTTACTTTACGTCTCTGTAACGTGGGAATCTTTTAATTTACTTTATTTGTATTTGTTTTTTGTACTCTATAGTTGAAATTTAATATAATACAAATACAAATTCGAAAAGAAAAAAAATAAATGTTTAAATGGGAAAAAAATAAGTTCAGATTCTAAAATATATATATATGCGTAGTAAAGCGTGCATGAGTTTTAAAGCATATTTGGAAAAAGAAGAGAACGGATACCGATACCGATTGAATGAAGAAAGACTAGGGACATAAAATTTGCAACACCAATGTCTA